CACAGCAGTGTGGTATCTGTGAGCAGCGCTGCAATGAGGGAAAATAGGTCAAATAGAAAATCTGTCCTTACACCAACAAGCAAGGAGAGACTGTTAAAGTGGAGCGGAGCGTTTGCTGAAGCAGTTGGCATGCCCCATTTACAAACAGGGTCAGTGGTTTTCATGACCTGTGCCTGGGGGAACAGACGACGTCTACTGTGCTGCTACGTGGCCCGCGTGGTGGCTGGTTCTTTGTGCCACTTACCATTAGGTTGTTTCAGCAGCAGGAAAACATTGCTCCTGATTGCCAAGACTTGACCCCTGGAAAGCCAGGCTTGGGAAGCTAATATGATATCCTGCCTTTGCTGGAAATGTCTTTCTGGCAGAAATGGCACTGGGTTGTGATCTCAGTCTTAGCCAGCTCAGTTCCCAGGAGTTAACCCTTACCTCCTCCCCAGCCCTGGCAGCAGAACTGGTGGGAGCTTGCAGTTACCTCCTTTTCGCTCTATCATCTTCCTGTGGCCTCTTGCTGTGCTCAGGGAGCGAAACAAACTTGTGAGAAGTGACTCCCGGCAGGGGGGTATTGTACTTGTTAAAGCCACAGCCTGACCACAGCCCAGTTTCTTCGTGACAGGAGTCGAGCTGCCAGTACATGCTGCCTGCACAGTGCCTTGGACAGCCATCAGCTGGGAGAGGGGAGGAGATGGCAAGGCAGCCAGCTCCCATCTACTTATGTTATGCAGCAGCTACAGTCATCCGCAGCAGGTCTGCTGGGAGGTGGTCCCTCTCTAGAGCCCGGCAGTGCCATGTGCAAACGCTGCTTTCTCAGTCTCAACCTTTAAAAGCACTTCAGTGTTTTGGGGCATCATCAAGCCTTAAAGACCCTCACGTGGAGAGGTTGGTAAGCACATTTCATCTCCACTCTCCCCACCTCTGTTTCAGAAGCCAACGCGGCCGAGGAAGCGGATACTCACGTGGCTGTGGTGATCAGACCAGGCAATGCAGGACTGACAGATGATGAGAAATCGTATTACAGCCTCATCTCATCTTTCACCGAACTTTTCCTGCCTTCCTCCACTTAGGGAAAGCAGTGCACACACAAAAGGCTGTGCTTCACCTGAATTGTCCTTGTGTAACATTAGGTAATTTTGTCCATAATCAGAGTTTAAAATGAAACCCACATCACATCTTGGACCTGTGACTAGTGCAGGCAGGTGTGGATGGAGAGTATGGTGTGGGGTCCCTTGTGCAGTAGGACAGAGGCCTGCAGCAGCCAGCTGGAGCTGGGAGCAGGGTGAGGAGCAGCACCCATGAGCCCTGCTGTTCCTCCACTTTCCCAGCTAGCAATTAGCTCAGGGGATGCTTCTTTCAGACTCATCCATTGAAATCTGATGCTGAGACATCCCACCGTGAGCTCCATCATTTTTAGAAATGGTCTGCAAACAAGGTATATGTCCCCCTGTCCCAGGAGGGTCCTCCGGGGACCATGAGGGCATATGAGCATCTCCCCTGCAGATGGGGTTGCTGGCTAAGTCAAAACTTTCAAAGTTAGGGCAGTTAGGATGCCCAAAGAAAAATGCCAAATGTCAGCTATAATACAGTAGGTTTGGGCTGCCATAGAAAAAGCCAGCCCTTGCTGCAGGTAAGCTCTTTAGACCAGGAACAACTTAAATCTTGGCTATATCCACAGCAGGTCTAGGTACGAAACAGTACAACTTGCATATGGAAGCTGCTTAAAGGTACACACCCAGCCTACCAGAATGAAGTAGAGTATATAAATATAACTTTAAAAATTAAATTTTAGACTCATCTCACCGCTGCATCTTGGTGCTGGGCTATGGGATCCAACTGCTGAACACCAAAGTCAGCTTGACCATCTTTCTGAAGTATCTTAGCACTAACCTGTGGAGCTCTTTCCCAGTAGCCAGCATCACCCTGTCACATGTTCATAGCATTGGTGAGCTGTGAGCAAACCTTGACAAACAACTGCTCCTGAGGGACACATCCTGCTGCATTTAATGAGAATTAAAACCCTGCTCTTTTCACCCACCCTACCTGAACTGTGCCAATTTCTATCAGATGGTCATGGAGCTTTTCCTGATGTAGTAAAAAAAACCCACAAATTTGCTTTCATTGTGTTCACTCCATTCCAGTATTTAGCCTTTCTGTCTATGACCAGTGATCCCAGCACCTAAAGACAAATCTCGTTTTTTAAACCTGTGAACGCTTTGTTTTCCTGCTTTTGCCCTCCCTGGTCCTTTCTTTAAGGCAGACAACCCTGTCCTGCCAAGGAAGCTGATTACCTCCCTGACCGTCTTACAATTTCAGTAGGGGCTCAGTGGGGGTGCAGGAGTGAGAGCCACAGCTAGGTTATACCTAGTAATAGTGGAAGCAGGGGCAGTCTGAAATCCCAGTTCCCTGCTGCTGGCACTTCGTGCATGGGTGTCACTTGCTACTTACTTGTTTCTGCGTGGCTGTGCTTGAGCTTGGCCAAAACAGAATACTAACGCATGTGTTGCCTTCCTGAGCTCTGATCTACCCCTACAGCTGTCCCTGTTGGGGGAGGCTGCTGTGTAGAGGTGAAGCAAGAGAAAGGCATTTTGGGAGGAAACCACATCATGCCAGCATTGCCCTTCTAACATTTTGATGGTAGTGTGTAAGGCTGTGAGGCAGTTAGTCTGGATGCCTTTCTGGGCTGTGTCATGAGTGTGATCCTCCTCCTAGAACGAGCCTGCTAATTAGCACTGTTACAACAAGTGTATCCGCATGGCTGAATAGTCCCTGGCTTCCTTAAGTGTTAATTTTAATCATGACACTGTAAATACCTTTTGTTTTGCCTTTGCCATCAGAAAGCTATGCATGGGGTAGGGGACAAAAATAAAACTCACTTTCTCCATAAAACTACTTTATTTAGTGGTCATGTTTCAGTGTGTATCAGTTGTCATTTAGTTGTACTGAAATGTGCCATTAGAAATACTCTAAGAAATGTACAGAGTTATCACCAAAAACCTGAAGTTCAGTTGGATTGCATATAGGAAAAGGAGAGAGATTAAAAAAAAAATCACAAACATCACCTTTTTTTTTCCTTTATATATTACAAAATATAAAATGATAAACGGAAAGTATTAATTGATTTAAAAAAAAAGTCACAGTGGACTATTTACAGTAAAACACCCTTAAAACAAATCACTATTTTGTGCTCCATATGCATTGAGTGTGTGTGCCCATGTAAGAGGATCCCCACCTGCATCTTTTCTAGGCTGTCCCCTCCTGCCCTCACCCAGGAGAAGCTCCCTTGATGGGCTGCAGGAGAGCCCTGTGCCTTACGCTGCTGTGCCCTTGGGCCACCCTCAGCACGTCCCTCCAGGAAAGCTTCCCACTAATGACACAGCTACAAGGAGGAGGCCTTCAGCAGTCCGATGACAACCCTCTGTTGCCTGGAGATGCTCTGGATTTATAACACAGCTGCCTGAGAACAAATTTTGGCCCACAGAAGACAAAGTAAAGGGCTGGCTGAAAGCTTTCTACTTATACTAGTTTTGACAGAAATTTTTCTCAACTGTTTCTCCTTTCAGAAGAGGCCTCTGACCTTTGCAGACGACTGAATGCCCTCATGCCTTTTCCCTCTGTTGGAAATGCCATGGTGCGGTACAAGTTCCCCTGCAAATGCCTTTTGCCACTGTTTTAATTTCTGCTTATTTTCCTGCAGCTCAGACAAGATGCAAACCTAAGCTGAGCCTGACTTGTGGAGGAAGACAGGAGCCATGTTCATGAGAAGCAACTCCCATCGCTCCTCTGCCCAGCCAATACAAAAGCCTTCCCAAAATCAGGTTTTCAAACAGGGGCTTTGAGCTCCTGCTTTTTCTTTGAAAACAGACCTTCCATTTGAAAACTTCCTTTCAGGGAGGGAGAAGCCATTCTGGGTTTGCTGTTCCCTTCCTGCACCTCCAACCCTCAGGCCACATCACCCAATCTCAGAGCAGAACTGCCTCCCTGCACCTTGGAAGCCTGCTTAAACCTGTGGCAGACTCCATTCAGGACAACTGGCCACACTGAGGGGTCTAGAGCCCAGGCCTAGTGTCAGTGTGTCTGAAGTTTGACTTCTAAGTGCACAAGGAGCAAAAACAAACCCTATGCCCAGAACCACCTGCAATGGTTCAGTTCTCATTGCAGGTGAGCCCAGTGTCTCCAACACAATGTTTTTCCCCTCAGTGAACAAAAAAACCCCAGCTTTTGAAATATTACACACAATATGTGGTGGAAGCACTACACACAAGAGCAGCCTTTTCTGAGTCATCTTCAGAGCACACAGGCATTCCCATCTTAATTCAGCACCTCGCTTTCACCAGTCCCCACCGTTGAGTCTGAAACAGGAAGCCAAGCACAGCACCCTGCTGTGCCACCTCCTTTGGCCTGCGGATGGTCTGCCCAGCTACAAGGCAGCATCAGCCAAGCCTTGCTTCCTGATCACAACACAGTTTCTCCCAAACCTGGAGAGAAGGCTGCTTTCCAGGCTGGAAGAAATCCCTGCCTGTTTGCCATAAAATCCAGTCAGTTGGGGTCTTCCACTGCCCGATTCCAAGTCCAGAAGAAACAGATGCTCTTTCTCACCCTATTAAGTTACACCAGTTGGCAGCAAAGAAAACAACACAGGAAACACATGAAAGATGCAGTCTGGTGACTCGGGAAACGGTGACTCCTGAAGACTCCTGGTGCCCAGAGAAGTCCGTTTCCTTCATGTCCTCCTCTGCAGAACAGGCTGAGGAGTGCCTGTCTTGGAGGGGCATTGTGGGGACTGGCTGTTCAATGTTTTGAACAGGACTGTGACAGAGCCACTCAGAAAGAGTCACTGGTAGCACAAACTAAACATTGTGCTTTCTGATGCTGCTGCTGAGAAGGATCCACTCCTCTTCCAGCAGACAGCTATTTTTGTTTGGCTTTTAATGAGACAGCCACCCTCCAAGCCCTTTGGCAATACTGTCATGATTGCACATGAAAACAAACTCATCAAAAAAGTGTAAATGAGGTCATGTTTAACCCATGAGACCACACCTGCCCCCCCCACACACCAGAGGACAGGCTACACCTGGTCTGTCTGGTACTCAGAGGCTTCCGATAAGCTTTCAGAAAAGCTCAGAAAGTTTTCCTGGTACTCAGAACAAACGATCTCAAATCTGTAGTGCCTGAACTCCACTGCAAAGGTGCCAAAGTAGCACAGGAAGCACATCACCAGGCCCCACTGGATCCTAGAAGCATGCATGTGGATGCCCTGTGCCATTAGGATGAAATCTGGAAGAGGAAAGTCAAGGAGAACTAGTGCAAGCAGAGACACCGACCAGGATGACAGAAAGCCAACAGGGAAGACAATAAAATCTTAACAATCAAAGGCAGCCAGATGACAGTCAACCCAGCCAGCTATCATCAGGAGAGCGTGAATGTGGTGCCAGAAATGGAAGGAATGTCAGGTGTCCAACAATGCCCATGGAGTGCAGCAGCTCTCCTATACGGACCAGGGCTTCCTGATCCCACTTCAGGCTGATAAACATTTACAGAGGGAAAGACTTAGGCGAGGCACACAGAAGTCAATGACTTGCTTGAACATCCAACTAGCCAGTGACAGAGCCAGCAAACTGGGGATCTGGCTGTGGGCCCCTACCTGCCAGGAGCCTCCTAGTGGGAACTGGATCAGATCTCTGCGCCGCAGGCAATGGGAACACCTTTCAGTCTACACTGTGCAATCTTTCATTCTCTCTATATCACCTGCAAAATCATCCCTTTCTGTGAAATCCGGAAGCATCAGTCTACACAGTATGGGATGTTATACTGAAAGGAGAAAGAACGCTGTCAGAACCAGAAACTGTCCTCCAGGCTCATGTACCACGTCATGCTTGGACCATATATTGCCTGGCATCAGGGTCTCACTGCTGTCCCTTGGTTTTTGTTGGAGTACTCCATAAAAGCAATTTGCAGCTCCCTTAAAGCAGAGGACACCTTCCTGAGCTGGGGACCTGCCCTTGCCCAATGCACATCTCTAAACCTATTGGCTCTCCTGTCTCTCAGGATTTCCTCTGCACTCCAGGAATGCATGATCTTCACAGGTAAAACAAACAGCTTCTCCTATGCTTTAACTGCACAAAGCAGATAATCGGAGACTTTTCATTTTGGACGTTGTGTAAGCAGCCAAAGCTTCATTTCAGCAACCATCATTCTGTGTCTGGCTTTAAGGATCTTCTACCTTCCCTGTAGTGCAAGGGTTATGCACAAACTGCATGGGATTGGGGGCCAGCCCCAAGCCTTTGCAAAGCCAATGTGGGATGTGGGGGGAATGGGACTCCTGCCTCAGCCTGCCCCCCTCCACAGAGGGCCCAAGGCCTTCAGTGCCAAGCAGCTGGCTAGGGAGGGCTGGGCTGGGAGCACCCAGCATGTCAGTACAGGAGCAGCCCTCACTTACCCAGCTGCTCCTGCTCCCAGCCTGGCAGAAACCTCCAAAGACAGCAGCGCAGCAGGAGCCCAGCCCAGCTCCTCGCATGCAGCCCTACCCCAGACACACCCTGGGGGAGCTATGGGCTTGGGGCAAGGGGAGGATGGGAGCACCACAAGAAACGAGCAAACTCCCACATTATGTACACCTCAGCTACAAATTTTTCCAAGGAAGCTTAAGAGGCAACTGACAGTACCTCTTCACACCAATCTGCTATTCCCCTGGCCACTGGCTGAAATATTCAAAACCAGCCAAGTGACAAAAGAATTGTTTTAAGAACAGGCTGTTCCCCAAAGAGGGTGATTAGTCTATTCCTTGACCTTTATTCCCGCCCTCTTGCTTATCCCAGCACTAACGTTGATGCAACTATGCTGTGAATGGATCCACCCTAAACAAACACCCAGGGCACATGAGTGCTGGTGCAAACAGAAGGGCTGGAGTGGGGCTGACAGGCACAAGGTGGAGAGGAAGCCATACGCACATCCAGTCTGAGCAACCATAGACCCCACAGCCCAAATCCCATTTGTAAAGCACCTAGTCTTACCCAAAGTCCACATGACGCAGCAGCTCTTGACTGAGATAACCATCTTAAAAGGCAGAGCTGGATATAGCACCCTGGCACATTTCAATAAACACATCAAAATCTTCTCATCTTCAGAAACCCGATTTTTTCCCTTGTTCCTTTGTTCTCCTGAGAATTTTTATCTCAGTGTTTTACATAATCTTAAATGCTACTGTGTAGGTAAGCAGTGGTGCCATTAAATTGGATGGATGCTATTCCATACTGTAACCACTTTGGATATCACTAGGAAGTTTTAGAAATACTTATGAAGGAAGTGAGCCCATCTGTGAAGCAGTGCATCCTGGTAAAACACAAGTAGCAAAATGAGCCAATTGTAGGATAATGCCACGAAGACAAGCTGAGTAGCATTCTAAATGCTTTGAGATCCTAGGATGGGTGTGAGAAGAGCCAACATTCCCTGCTGCAGAGAGTGTTGGACATGTATGATACCTGGCTTCCCAGGGAATGGGACAAAAGGATACAGAGTACCACGCAAAGGGTGATGCTGGCCGACAGGGCGACCCGTGGAATCCCGACTTTCCGTCCCTCGTTCTTGAGGTTGATCTTGAGGGTGAGGGCAGACTGGATCCAGCATGCCAAGGTCCCAAAGCCAAAGGTCAGTGATGTGCCCACATTGTGGATCTCTTCATCATTGGAAAGCTACGAACAAACAAAATTGTGATTGTTTGGATGCAACAGGAATTATCTGCTAGCTATCTTGGATTGCTGCAGTGGGATAGAGGAGAGTGGGAATCACTGGGGTGTGAGACAGAGATGCAGTATCATTTCTTCTGGCAGAGGTCTAAGGTGTAACATAACTGAGATGAGTTGACAGCTGTCACAGTCAAGTAGATCTTCTGCCCAAAGTCCAAGCACAGTGGAAAATGCAGTTGCTTGGGGACTGCCTCCACAGCTCCCTGACAAGACTTACCAACACAGAGCTCAGAAATAAATCCTTCCCTGGCTTAATGTGATGGCCAGTGCGCAAAGACAACCCACTGGGGTCTTGTACAGCTCCCTGCAATGGAAGCAAACTGTGCAGACTTCAAGTGCCAGCCGCATGGAGCAGTGCTGCATGGGGCAGAGGGTAGCCAGAGCCCTGACACCTCCATCGAGCTAGCACAAGCCAAAACATAGACACATGCTCCTGGTTTGGCAAGTTTCTCCCACCAAAAAGCTTGACTGCCTGTTCCCTCTCCTGCCCATCCTCAACCATTGGGGTCTGAGGCAATATGAACCCAACCTCTGGAGTGCAAGTGCTTCTCTGTTCCTTGGGCTCCCATATCTCATGGGACTCAGTGACTGTGCAATACTGCAAGGCAAAAGGGCAGCCAGGTTCAATGAGCAAGAATCTGCAGAGATCCCTTGAGGCTGCAAATCCATTCAGAAAGCCCAGCATGGACAAGACTTAAGCCAAACAATGTCCCTTTTCCCTCTGCCTCTGAGGCTTTTCTAGAAAAGAAACCAGCAGTCTGTAATTCCTCACTGCAGCCTTGATTCCTGTTTGGCGATTTAACAAATTCCCATCAAACAAGACACAATCTACAAGATAACAGTCTAGTTACTGTGCCTCCACCAATCTCTCCCCTCTCCTCCCTACCTTGAGTTTTTTTTCAGGGTAGGTCCAAATCATAGTACAGGCAAAAATGGGATTGAGCTGCCTTTCCCAAGGTAGCCTGCACTGCAAGGGACTCACAGCCATAATGCCCCTCTAACACACCCAATCTGTAATTCTCCAGAAATATGATTTAATGCCACATTCATCTTAGCAGTCAGGCAGGGAAAAGCATGGACTAAGGTCTCTCACATGCTTTCATGGTTTGGCAAAAGATCTAAGCAAGGATACAGGTAACTAACAAGGAGTAGATAATTAGTTCAGAATTTATAATCAGGCATGATTCAATATATCCACTTTTAAATAACAATCATTTGCTTTGAGGACTGAAAAAGGGAGGGAGAGGTTGAAACTGCTTCCTAGTGTCTGCCCTGTACTAGAAATACTCTTCTCACACCTAGACAAGGCTGCTACAAAAGCCTCATAGTTCCTAGCTGGGAAGCTCTTGTGAAAAAACAAGACTCCAAGTTTTTGGCTTGTGCTGTGGAGTTAGGAAGACCAGGTCCAAAACAGTCAAATTATCTCTCACCTCCTTCAAAAAAAAAAAAAAAAAAAAAAAAAAAAAAAAAGAAGAGACAACTGTAGAGGACACAAAGTTCCTGCAATTGCTCCACAACCCAAACAGGTACTCACCCTTCACAAAACAAGTACCTTTTCTGTATTGGCAGGAAAAACAGTTCCCTGCCTGCAAAGCCAGGCAAGAAGCCAGCCTACACTGACCCTTCTCAGTCCCTGCCATAATTGGGGGTCATTACTTGCACCCCAGTGAGAAACAGAGCATCAGAGACAGCAAAGGGATGGGAAAACCCAAATGCCACTAACTCTAATGCCCTGATTTTCACTGCAGACCTAATAGACACACTCATGATCACAGTGGACACCCAACCCTACAGAGCAACGTTCTGGCACTGACACCTTGTTTGTTTGTATAATGTTGCAGAACAGATTGAGAATTGGAGGGACCTCATCCAGGCACCCATCACATTAGCAGAAGTCATAGCACTCCTCTGCTCTGTCCCTCTCATGGCCAGTCTGACAAGTGGGAGGTAGATTTAAACAACGTATGTTTAAATGAAGGACATTGAACTGTCTGCTAAATCAGTATGGGCAGATGTTCAGCTATTCGCACAGATGTGTACATAAACTTCCAGCTCAATCCTTTCACCCAGGACCATCTGTGCCAATCCCCAGGGCTCAAGAGATTCAACGGGTTCCCTGGTTTGGCTCTTGGCAGGTCAAGTGGAAGCACGCAGGTGCAAATCGTGCTGGGAATACATGAAAAATTATTGTGGACCTTCATCCCAGCATGTCACTGGAGCCACATAAGCAGCAGACAGAGGTGGCAGAGCAGGTACAAGGATGGCTGGGGCACAGCCAGACACGTTATCTCCTGAGCTCACATCACAGGTAGTTCAAAGACCTAAGCAGATCTGCTAGAAAAGCAGGAACCTCATAGCACAGATGCAGCAGTCCAAGCCTGGAGTGCAGTACCTGAAAGTTGCCGAGTAGGGTCATCCCGAAAGAGGCCAAGCATAACGCCACCAAGCCGCTGACGTTCAGCCAAGGGTTTAGTACCTTCGGCTTCAGCTGAATGAAGCGCAGGACAGCCACGACAAGCGCTGAGAGGGAAACAGAATGCAAGGTGTGTCATTAGGTAGAACACGCTGCAGTAACCACCTGGCTGGGGGCTCACGGACCTCTCACCCTCTTTCCACCCAGAGGAGAGAGCTCTCTGCAGGCTGGCTAGCTTAGTGCTTCTCCATGGCCCCCTCCCGCTTAGTCCTGGACAAGACTAAGCACGGTAAGCGTTTTGCTTGTTATCCAGTTGTGCCGAGCTCCCATGCTTCCTTTTCTCATTATGTTTTGTCTAGGAGTTGGGTTGCAAATTTTCTGGGGGAAAGAAGAGCACCTTCCTATTTGCCTGTGAAGCTCCCAGCACATAGTCTACCACATAAACATCATGCATTCACATTGCAGCAGCTGGGCTTGCATCAAGTTTCAGTTCACTTACGAGCACTGAGCTCTCTTGGAGGAGGTACGTCAAACCCCACCTGTATTAGAAAATATATGAATGGCACACACGTATTTCTGCAGGTTTTACCATAATGCCCACTGCCTCTTTGCCTCCTCTGGAACAAGTTACTGGTGCTATGAACGTAAGCCAAAATATTGCACTAATTTTCTGTGAAGACTGGGAGAGCAGTCCTTCCAAGCTTACAATTAGCCCAAGCGCTATGATATGATACATGATATATATGATACATGATATATCATATATGACATGAAATAAGCTCAGGAGATATTCACATTGTATATTCTTGCCCTCTCTAGGGAATGCTGCATGGAACAACACAGAAAGCCAGGCAATCAGTTGGTGTTCAGATGGGATTCAAACCAGACCACTAAAAAGCAATTTAGTTGAACAGGGAAATTTGCTGGTTGCTGCCGAACACCTCCTTATGCTTATGCTCAAACTGATAGCATGCAGGTCATATTGTTGTAAATTGTGTGTGTTAACAAATTAGATCTATATTTTCCACAAAAACTCTGGTATAATACCAAAAACACGTTTTAGAAAAATAAGGGCACTCTAAGTGAAAAATATCCACTTTTATCCAAACTGCAACAGATGTTTGCATTTACTCTCTCACAATTTGCTCTAGTGAATCAATCCACTCCAAATCCTTGAAAACAAGAGAACTTTGTTCCCCCCAAAAGAGAATTTGTGTTTTTCATCCCCAGGCAATTGTTTGGGACAGCCACACTGTGACTACTTGAGCTCATGTGCAGGAATTATGTGATCTTTTCCTAAAATACTGATGGGAATGACAAAAGGAAATTAAAAGGACACCTTCCAGCATTATGTGCAAAACAATGGCATTTTCAATATTCAGTAATGCCTATGTTTCTAGCAGGTTTCTATAGTTTTCCTCTCCTATAGCAAGGGCTTTGACACAACTAAGGTGGCCAGAGGTACAAGCTAAAAGCAGCTCTCAGAAGCACCCAATACAGCAGAGGAAAGCTTGGCTTTATCCACAAAGCAGAGATAGAATAGAATGGAATAGAATATTTCATTTGGAAGGGACCTACATCAATCATCCAGTCCAACAGCCTGACCACTTTAGGAGCTGACCAAAAGTTAAAGCATGTTATTAAGGGCATTGTCTA